ATCTTGGATTTGCCTTTGGATTTCTTTCCTGTAAGCTAATGGTTTAAAATTTATGGAAAAGAAGAAGCTGTGCCAACAGGTGTATCTGTTGGAATAAAAGATCATCTGTTTCTAAATATATTGAAACTGTGTGGCATTCTGCTCCCCAAACCCTCCAAACCTAATAGTGTTTGGAGACATCCAAGTGAGTGGTAAGAGGTTTACCATTAGTTGATGGATTGCGCCTCAAAATGAGTAGTGTACAATGTGTCTTCTGTGTTAGAACATTTGTAAATGAGTTGTAGATGACTTAAAACTCTTGTAAATGAAACATCACCAAATGAATATTTAGAAATTTTGGAGGAGGAAAAGCTCAATAAAAATCAAAGTGGAAGTGTTTGACTTACTTAAAGGTGCATTAGCAGAATATATCTGTATTCTATTTTAAAATCATTTTTTTCTGAGCTCTTCAAAGAAGTAGTAAAGCAATTCTTTTCACTTATTTTGTGACAGATACCTTTCTTTGATAATTTCCCCTCTCCTCTTTGAATTCAGTCTCTGGTTATGCTTTATAAAAAAACAAGGTATATTTTATTTGCTTGTTCAGTTATTTTTATATTAAGAAGACACCTCTAGATATTCAGACAGGGTTCTGCAGAGTAGTCAGGATTGTCCCTTCAACCTTCTGCCTAGTTGCGAAGTGCTGTGGGATTTGTTTACCATTCTTTGTGAAAGTGCCCATGTTTAGCTTGTGACTCCCTAGTCCTTTGAGAAATTTTTGTTTTGTTCTGGCAAAACAAAAGAAAAACAATGTGAAATTGAATATTTCTGAATATTTGTTTGATTGACTTTGTAATTTCCTTTTTTAAGGGGAGAAGGGAAATGTATTTTATGACTTTCCTCTACTATACTTCCTTCTCTGCTGTAGAAAGGTATTATGTAGCACCTGAGTGTAGGTGAGAGGTGATAGTGCAGGTTAGCAGGGTGGACAGATGCCAGGCGCTCGTCACAAGGCCTGGCCCAAGAGCTGGCAGGAATTGCGTGGTGGGAATGGAGTGTGGGCCAAGTGCAGTGCGTAGCTTTCTCCTTCAGACTGCTGTGGTATCAGTCAGGTGACGGGTGGCTTGCGCCAGTGGTGTGTCTGGGTTTTGTTGTTTGTCTTGTTTGCTTTTTTGAAGTGTTGGGCTTTTTATGTTCTATTTTTTGAGGACTTATTGGAACTGTCATGCTGTAGGCCTGGCGCTAGGAAAGCGTGATAAGCTGGAGAGAGTCAGAACAGCTTCTGTAAAAGGAAATCCTGTCCTTGAGGTCTGAGGGAGTTTCCCTTTGGAAGAGCCAGTGACGAGGATAAGGGAAACTAATGAGCATACCCACGCTTGGAGTGGTAAAAGGCCTCTCACAAAAGGTTCTTGTGGAAATTACGTAACCGTGTAACAAGAGCCGGTGTTATCACAGGGGAAAATAAGCAAGCAAAAGTTACAGAACGACTTAGAAATAAAATAGGGTAGGTTTTGTCCTGTGGAGAGGATGCCAGTGGAGTTTTGGAGGGATGGAAACGGCACATGGAGAGGACAAGAAAGATAACCAAAGCAACAGAGTAGCTCTGTGCAGGAATCTGCTCCATGGGTGCCTGCTCTTGGCCTGGACAAGGAGCACCGGAGGGAGAGCAGTGGAGAGAGGCCCACGGTGCTGACTGGTGCAGGGAGGGGAGGACGCAGGAAGAGCAGGAGAGAGGAAGGGTGGATGGTGCTCGAGGAGACAAGGAGCAGCAGTTCTCCACTTGCTATCAGTCATCCAATGAAGGACATCAGCAAGCAGTAGTTCAAACAAACACAAGAAACGCTTTGTCTGCCCTCTTGCTAAAATGCAGGCGTTTGGTATAAGCTATGAAGTTTGCCATGGAAACCCCAGAGGCTGACACTGTAGGAAACACTTGAAGAGCAGTGATATAATGGGGTCTTCCCTGCTTCCTCCCTGCTCTTTCTGTGGTTGGAAAGGAGCACATCTGAGGAGGCTGCAGTAGCAGAATGAATGTGTGTGTATGTCTGTGCTTCATGGCAATTAAAGTTCACTCTTTTGGCCAAAGGTCGAAAAAAAAACCCATGCGGGTGTTTGTTTTCCAACTTTGCAATTCGAGAGTAGGGGAAGTTGGTTTTGTAGGGCCTGTGTATTTTAAAAGACCTTGTCAAAAGATATTGTTGACCAAGTCGGCCTAGATTTATCCTCTCTAAAATAAGGTCGCCCCTGACTTGGGCAGTGGGTGGCAGAAGCTTAGTTATATTAACCAAGGACTTTTATATGAGTAAGCTCTGTATGGATAGTGGTTATTTGACAACTGGATGCAGAAAATATGAAAAAAAAAGTCTGTGAGCCTTTTTGTTTGTTTGTGTTTGTGTGTGTCAGTGTATGTACCTATCTATGAGTGTATATATATACACATACATATTCGTTGATATTTTGCTGCATAGATTCCAATGGAATCTCGAATTCCTGAGGGAAAAGTGCTGAAAATGGTGTTTTCTGGTTACAGGAAAATGAGTCCTTAAATAAAACTATTAATCCCCAAAGCGGAAATGATGGCAAATACTTATCTAGTCCAGGAGAGATGAATAAAAATCCAAACCCTGAGTCTTTGGAGTGGATTTCCAAGTAACAAAACTATTTCAGGGTAAATAGATCTTTGAATGATAGAAGAAATTTTGTTTAATTGGTATTGTTATTGTTAGTAACGAACTAAAACAAAAGTATATTCCACTGACATGTAGGAGTAAATGGTTTGTCTCTGAAAAACTCTTCAGGGAGAAATACTGTTGATTGAGAAACCTATAAGGAAAAAAACCTTCACAGTCCAGGGGATTTTGTACTAGAAGTAATTCTCAAGGAACATCCAAGAATTACAGTTCTTCACTGTTCACTGTATCTTATTTAACTCATCTGCTAACAAAATGCAGAATAATTATGCCACTATTTTCTTTTAATACCAAAGTAAGTAATACATTAATGAAATACAGGTTAAAGTCAATCTCAGTGGCAATGTGACAACCAGCCTGAATTAACATCTTCGTTTCTGGTGAAACTGTCTCTGTGCCACAGTAGGAGCAGGGGTGCGAGGGGTGGGGGAGAGATGGGGCCTGAAAGACCCCATGGGCTCTCCATTCGTTCAGGTGATGTAATCCTGGGAAATTGCTGTCTTAGTTATACCCTTAGATCTGGAAATATATCAAGCATGCTGATCACCAGTCTGTTCTTAAAAATTCTGTTTGAGTTTTTGAAGATTAATGTAGCTTTAGCAAACTGCTTCTGGCAATCTGTAGCGAAAAATCCATAGCAAAGCAGGCTGAGCAGGTCAAGAGAGCTTGCATGAACTGTCTGTAACGACAGATAAGGAATCGGAAGCGCATGAGGGATGTTTCCAATCTTTGAACAATTTTCTAAAGGAGAAGCATATCCTCTCCGGTTGCTATTCATGACCCCTAGCTCCTGGGATGGGTCACATCACAGCCTGCACGGTAGCCTGTTTGAAGACTAACTGGAGAACAGTGCGTTCTTTTGCTGTTGGAACATGCTTTTGCGGTTTGTCATTTTCTTTGGCTTTAGGTCATTTTCCCCAGCCCGGGTCTGGTTTCACCGAGGAGGGCCTTTGTACGTGGTGTGCGAAATACGTCACTGTTGCTTCTAGCAGTGTCTGCAGCTGCCCTCAGATTCCCCCTCAAAGGAGCAACTAGCAGAGTCAGCTCTGCTCGAAGGAAGCCACACTGGCTATGGGAGAGAGAAAATCTGTGGTGAAAAGGAGGAAAAGTGCTAGTGGGTGTTCTGCTTTTACTTGTAAACCGACCTGGAGCCTCCTGCTCAGTTCTGAAAGAGACTGGAAGAAAAAACAAGTCCATTTCTCCAACTCCCTACAACTGCCTTATTTGCCATAATGTGATGTTTCTAAATTATCAAGAGAAATCTCTGTTTGCTCAAAACCGATAGGGTAGAGGTATAGAAGACTACTTGTGTTTTTAAACTAAGTTTTATATACCTACCAGAGTTAAAAATGGCTAGTCTAGAGCTAGGTAAGCTGTAGTTAGGTAAGCTAAGAGTGGAGACTGGAGTATGTGTAGTTTAACAGCTAACTATTGAAATATTACTACCTCTTTTAAGAGCTAAAGGAATTTACAAAATAAGAAAGCGGAAAGTATATTGTGAGCCCGCGGCTGGTTTATAGTCAGGATTTTTCTGCCACATGGTCGTTTTGCTCGCAGTGCCAGATGTTTGGTTTCCAGTTGAGCACAGTGGTGACAACCCCGTGGGCGCAGCGGCCGCGTCGCTCCCCGCGGCCCGCGCGGCGCCTCCCGCCGAGGGGGCCCTGGCAGACCCAGGCCAAGGTCTTTGCCATGGCCGGTACTTTGGAGCAGAGCCGTTCCTTTTATTTATTTATTTATTTTTCCCATTATTGAGATGAACAGTGCATAATTTATAAGTGGAAATCAGTTCAGTGGAAAATAGAAGGATTAAAATAAACAGTCTGCTCCGTTTTGTGTTTGAAATTTGCTTTTGACATCCTGTCCTTGAGCCTTTCATATGGAAAGCTAAATGAGTGTGCAGCACAGAGACCAACCTAAAAAAGAAATGTTTTCTTAGGGATTTTTTTTCTACCAAGTAGTATTTAGTTAACCGTTAATCTCATGTCGCAGAATGAAAAAAGCTTTTGTGGCTAGTATGAATGGTTTCTTTCCTCTTGAAAATTATTTTAAAATGGTGAGGAGAGGAAAAAAGATGCAAAAGAATTGAAGATGCAGGTTGCCAGGAAAGTGGTGGGGGCAGGAGGTGTGTCTGCACGTACGGAGAAAGGATAGGAATTTCCAGATGTGATTAAAAAGTGAGCAGCAGGTAACAAAAATGTGGCTTGAGCAGTGCTGCTGGCATGGCCATGAGGCAGAAAGAAGCAGCAGCATCATGCGCGATAGGACTGCTCATTTGGTGTGTGGGAGGGCTGTAGATCAGTTGCTCCAGTGGTGAAATAGGTGTCCCTCTTCCTCCTGTAAATTGTAAGTGCTGTTTCTGCTGTTCTCTGCATGTGCAAATCTCCCCTGCGGCTCGCTTTGTTCCCGGGCAGCTTGTCCCGGGCGAACCATCACTTAGCTCTGTCCTTAGCAGTGAATTACGGGCACCTGCCTTTGTCTCTGGCAGCTGCTTTCGATGAACGCCATGTGGGAGCCACTTTTTTTAGTTCTGAAATAAATGTTTACTTTTCTCAACTGCTTGGCCGTGTTATTCCCTCTTCTGTTGCAGTCTCTCACCGTGCACTTAGGGGCACCGCGTGCACTCGGAGTCAGGGAGCAGCTGCCTCAGTTTGCTGTGTTTATGGCAGTGGCAATGCTGCATTTACAGCCCGTGCTGAAGGAGCACCGCGGCGTGAGTTGCCTCTGAGGAATATGTTGTGGAGACTGCCACGTGTGGAATTAGCCAGACAAAATGCTTGTACGTAATTAAGAGCACGTGAGTTAAACATGTGCTTTGCGGACAGGCTTCCTGGTTGATAGTTCCGTGTTTTTTAACAATATCTTTAACGTTTTTGCTTCCAAGGCAGACTGCAGACTTATGCAGACATGCTGTGTGGCAAAGAAATAAGTATATCTCTAACAGTTCTCATTAAAACATCTGCTGTACAGCTAGAGCGAGATTTTTTTTGTCCTTGCTGATGACAGTATGGGTTTTGATCTGACTGCTGTTGCTGTCTGCAGCATTGACTCCAATCTGAGAGCGGTTTTTCCTCTCTGATAGTCAGAATGTGCTGGCAAATTTAGTAACCTGGTTCAATGTTATGGAGTTGTTTCCATTCTGTAAGAGATCACAGTGTGATAGGGTGATAGACTGACTTTCCAGATGCTGAATTCTCACTCCTGGGGACTTCAGGGCTTTTTTTTTTTGGCTGAATGAGATTTCAAATCTAGATTGGCTCTTGGATCTGAGTTTTGCCATGAATTTGCTGTCTGCTTCCTGTAGTTGGCTCTCTCCACAAACAAAAAATTGGGGAAAAGTAATAACTGCCTAGGTTAGAGCCATCGGGTGAAGATTAGTTGATGTTTGTGTAACAAGTGGAAGAATGGAAAGCTTTAAGTTATTAATATAGTCAGATAGGAAAACAGCAGTAGGAACAATGCCCTGTGAATTATTAAACACCATATTACTCTCCGGATAAAAAGCTGAGTAGCTTTTCATGATTCCTTCGTTGTCTTTTAGTCTCAAATTCAGGGTGGGTTGAGGGAGGTGGTGTGATGTAAAGAGCAAGGTTGGTTTTTTGTTTCTTTGTTTTTATTTGTTTTGTTTTTTCACATTTCAAGTGACATTTTTTTTCTGTTTTAGATATTCACAGTCGTTACTATCCTACAATGCAAAAATATTTAACAGCTGTTCATTTTGTTGTCAAAATGAATGGTCTCAGCACTCATGGATTTCAGAAATTATGTGAGGATGTAAAATTGCAGTGTCATCTGTAATGCTTGTTTTAGTGCAATGATGTTTCTGGTAATGGCCAGGATCATCTAATCCCAATACAGGAAATCCTGGGGGTGATAAGCATGGTGGTACCTGGCTGCATCACTCAGGCACTAGCAAAACATAGCACCTACACCAAAATGATAACTTCCTTTCTCCAATAAACTAATGAAAACAAATCCAGAGAATATTTCCCCCTTTTTTATGAGGAGGGAGAGGGAGCGTTGTTAATGTCTGCTTAGCAGCTAAAACAAAAGCTTTTGCCCTTTATGTTTCACAGTTCACTGGCCAGTTGTGCACAGGAATATTTTGTTTTACTGGATTGGAAATGGCTGCTGCTTCATCCAGACATGAATGACTTTCTGTTTCTGTGAATTGAGACTTTTTCAAGGATAAATAAAGGACAAATCCACTCTCCTCTGGGTTGATGTGCTTGTATTAACTTAATGATTTCATACTCATAATCAATTGGCACTAATTACTGTAGTCTCCATGAAAATTGGCACTAACTGGCAATGTTGCCTGGGCCTGACTGACCTGAGCAAATGGCATGAACGGGGGCATTTCATTATGTTAAATTGGTGTGGGCCTGTGTACGTACTGGCACTTGAGCAGAAACTTAGGGAAACTCAGGACCTGGTGTCTGACCTCAGTCCCTTGTAGAATATTGGGTTTCTTGTGAAAGGATGGCTAGGAAATTATAATTGCCATGGAGAGCAAGGAATGCATATAAAACTGGATCATCTCTGAAGGGCCAGTTATCTTTTTTTGTAGCCTCTGGAAGAATCTTCTGTGCTTTCTGAATACTACACGTAAATCTGAATTACCTTGGTGTTTCGCCCAGGGCAATTATTTTCCTTTAGAGCTGCTTTGGTCCCGAGAGTATTCCTGTGTCCTGGGGTATGTGCCTGTGCACATGTTCCCTGTTGTGGGAAAAGGGCAGTGCGGGGAAGAGGAGAGAACACGTTTATACATTGGCTGCCTCCGCTGCGCTCCCGGGAGTGAGAGGGAAGTGAGGGAGCGGCGAGGTGGTTCACTCACCAATCCAAGGAAGGGAGGGGATAATCGGGAAAAACGATGCAATGCCTAACATTGCTTCCAAAGAGCTCATTTGTGCTTGTTCTGTGACTAATGTCTCCATACCTCATCCTCCCACCTCAGAATTAAATGCATGGATTCCGTGGCAAGAGAGTGGCTGATGAATTGAGCTGCGCTATTCTGTGTTCTTCCTTAAGGCCTGTTTGGCAAATGCAGTAATAAATACAGGCTGTGTTTGTGAGCATGGGATTAAAACAGGACAGAGCAGCAAGTCATTCTAGCTGTGGGTGATTTCCTTACCTTTTAAGAGCAGTTACATATATATATATATATATATATGTGTGTGTTTTTTGGTTCCCTGTTAAGTCTGCATGTCTGGGTAACAATACTAGAATGAGAATTTGTTATTTGTAATAGTAAATCTTTACAGCAACTAATGCAATTCTTGTTGGCTTTAATCTAGCACTTTGTGAGGAAAGATCTTGTTACAAGTACTTCAGTCAGTATTTTTTATAACATTAATATTTTCCCCTTTGCAAATGAAACATTATTTTCTGTCCTGCTCCTCTTAGGCAACACTGATGAATAACATCACAGCAAATGAGCGATTGATCCAGACTCTGCAAGGTACGTCTTAATACAGTTATGCATCACTTTTGTATTGGATGTTTAGACTTCTTTTTAAGATCTGTGTTACGTGGAATTAATTTGTGTTTATTGACGTAGACCCTGTGTGTGCACAGTGTTGAGCTACCCCTGCTGGACTCCTGACCCTTGACTACTAATGATAGAAAATAAAATAAAATGAAAATTCATTTGTGTATTCTTAAGATATTTATTTTTCATTTACCTTTTGTAGTGTGCTTTTACATTCTTTCCTGATATGACTGGTTGTATGTTTTGGCACTAGGCAAATTTGCAAACATTTCTGAACAAGAAAACTTGGCCTAATTAATTTCTGTTCATGTTGGTACTTCAGAATTATTGCTAGCAATTTGTGCCTCCAAAGTCTGGGGGAACTGATTGGTAAATTCTATAAACTGGCTAATCTTCTGTTAATTCTTTTGCTGCCCTCACACAGAGCTTTCTGTCAGGAACAAGGAAATCCTCATGTTACAAGGAAATACATGATGGATGATGTTTCAAAACAACAACATCAGAAAAAACACTCTGTTTTTGAGGAGCATAGAATAATTTCTTCCTTGAAATTATTCAAGGAAGTGTTGTAAGCATGTCTTTAATAAACATGGATGGTATTCCACACTATGTTGCAGTTAGTCTCTTATAGACATTAAGACTTCCTGGGCTGAAACCCAGGAGAGCCAGAAATTGCGAATAAGCTAGACTATTCCTCATGGAGAAAAGGGGGTCAAATTCTAGGTGTACACGACTTTTGTTAGTTTATGTTAGGCTGAAAAACTTCCTGATCCTTATCACGTGCATCTTTGATGAATAAATTCTACAGTTGTCTGGACGGATGGAGCTGATGTGTGCTTGCTATCAGACCTGCTACTTGATGTTTCTGTTGTGGGAAAAAAAAAATACATGTGTTTTTTTTAATGCTGTTTTGATCAGAACACTTGAAGGAGTTACAGACAGAATATGGAAAGCTGCAGCTGGATGTTTACCGGTTTCAGAAGAACCAAACTAACCTTCAGAGAAAGTTCTCGTATGATCTGTAAGTTTATTCTTTCTCTAGCAGTGGCATCTAGAGTTGTAGTTGACCTAAGGTTTATGACCTTAAATATTTTTGTGATAGCTGAAGTGTCTCATGCAGGGTTATAGTTTAAGACAAAAGTGATGCATGACAATTTATGCATTTTTTTAACTTCCCTCATTTATTTCTGAAAAAGACGATATAACTGCAATTCTCTGTAGACTTTTAGTCCTTGCAGTCTCCAGCAGCTGGGCATCCATTGACTTCTCCCACACTTTTTTGATGTTCTTTTGATTGAAGGAAGAGAAAGGTAGCAAGATAACCAATTTAGAGATGGGCGGAAACTAGGACACAGAGAGACTAACATCTGGAGAAGCTTAAGGACCAAGATACTGGAATACCTTTTGAGAAGCTCCATTGCATCCATTGAGTTGCCAAAGGCATGCAGCAAGTTTCTGGTGGACTTAAGTTTAGACCAAGTCCTTCTGCTTTACCATCCATGCCTAGTCACATTTTTTGAAAGAAATTTCCTACTGAATTGTAAGTAAGTCATGGATAACTGACAGTACTAGAGGTAAGGGCCACAAACTGAAGCACCAAAAGTTCCACAGGAACTTAAGAAAAAATTTTTTAACAGTGAGGGTGCCAGAGCACTGGAACAGGCTGCCCAGAGAGGTTGTGGAGTCTCCTTCTCTGGAGATCTTCAAACCCCGCTTGGACGCAGTCCTGTGCCACGTGCTCTAGGTGACCCTGCGTGTGCAGGGGGGTTGGACTAGATGATCTCTAGAGGTCCCTTCCAACCTTAAGCATTCTATGATTCTATGATTCTATGAACAAAAGTGCTTATTGGTATCCCTGCATTAAATGTACATTTCAAATATTTCTAGCGTTTTTTTTTTCTGGGTTCTCTCTGACTTTTCAAACTGCTCAAAAATTTTCTTATCCTTCTTCCTCCTATTATATCTTTCATCTGACACACAGATATACCTTGTCAGCCTATAGGGCTTTCAGTTTTTTTGTGCTCTCCTAATGATTCTCCATCAATAATATAATTCTTCCACAGGTGTTTATTTTTAATAGCCATCTGCTGCACTTTTTATTCATTTTTTTTTAGGATTTCTAACTTAAAAACTCAACATGGCAATCACAAAGAGCTTTAATGCTGCAGACCAAGCTTGAAATATGCCCTTTTTTTCTGCACTTAAAGATTATTATTTTTTAGAATACTTATCATTTACTGCTTGGCAGTGTTCTTCTTTTTTAATAAAAGACATCATTACTTTTTTAATCTTGATGACTCAGGGTTCTAAAAGTTCTAACAGAAAAGGCAGTCCAGGTCTGTCCTTGTGTCACGGTGCGCAGCATTGCAGCTCTGCTGCTGAGCTGTGGTGCTGGCTGGGGAGCTGGCGTTTCTGCCCTCCTTCTGTCCTGAGGCAGGTGCAGCAAATGCAGTAAGCTTAGTTACTACTCAGGTGAATAAAATGGAAGGGATCGTTTTCCATTTCTGGATTTTGTGGCTATGCAAATAAAGAAAAAAAACTTGGCACTTAGTTTTCTGTTGGGCACCCTGTAGCACTCTTAACATTCCAGCAGGAACATACATTTACATATTTTTTGGTGGTGCTTGCTGTACTGTTGGGGAGATCTTGGAGCATTAATATTTAATTAATGTAACTTAACATTGCATTCCAGTAACTGTGGAATCATGCACCAGAACATACTTGGTGGAACATCTTCTCTGCTTATTTTGTTGTTTTGTTACTAAATGTAACTTAAGACTTCTTTTAAAGACTTAAGAGTGATCTTTTTCCACCTTGGTTTCAGGGCTAAAAAAACGAGTATTGTCACAAAGGCATTCACATTAATTCTTTCCCAATAGTAGTAGCAAACAAATGTGTTGCTTCTCTGTACAGCTTAATGTCCTTAAGCATTAGCAGGAGGGGAGGCTATTCCTGTAATGTATCATGCCAATGTTTCTTCCTTTGATTTGGAGTTGCATGGACTCAGGCTTGACATCTTTAGTGATAAATGGATGTTGCTTGATAGAAAATAGTAGAAGAGAGAGAATATTATTGTGTGATTGAAAATGTTAGCAAAATGTGACAGAAGCCAAATGTCTGTGTTCTTCAACTGCACAAATTGCAAATTGCCCTTTTTAAAAAAAATAAGGTATTATTCTGTAGAAGATAGTGATAAAATTAGCTGTGCATGTGAGATAGATTTAGAAGGTAATCTAGAAGGTGCAAAGTCTTGTGAGAAAAGCTGGAATGCCAAATTTTGCTGCTTTTAGGGATGCACATGTGTGTGAGTTTGTGCATGAACCTTCTCTGCGCCTGATAGTTTGGGGAGGGAGGAAGATAGAGCCCTGTTTGGAGGAATCTAAAGAAGCCGAATAAACCCTTTCTTGGCAGAGCTGCCTGTATTTTCCAAACCTGTCCGTGGTGCCACTGCCTGTGGGGCTGCATCCCCGCGGTGCCGCTGCGAGTGAGCGAGTGGTGACCAGGCGCTCTCAGCTCCCCCGCTGCCCTCGTTCCTCCTCTTCCACCTCGTCTTAAGCAGGAGTTTGAGCTCACCTTTCCCTTGGAAGAGGAGGCAACACGTCAAAAGAGTAAGTTCCTGATGTTAAACATACCTGTGCTGTGCACATTAGATGCCCCCTCTGATCATGCGCAGTTACGTCCCTACTGAGTACTTAGGCAGCAGTTAGTTTATTAGGTATTTTCTGGGAGGTGAGGTAGAAAATAGGTAACAGATTTATCCTTTTAAGAGGGATCTGGCTTGCTTTTCAAGGAGTGTCTTTCAGACCAAAAAGTTAAAATAAATGGGTGCTGTGGCACAGCAGAGAGATACAAGTTGTCGTTGCAACCCGCAAGGCCGTGCGTTGGTGGGGCAGCGTTGGGGAAGGAGCAGTTCCGTGCACGGTGCTGCCAAGGATGTGCCGAGGCCAGGGGCTGCATCCCACAGAGAGGTGTGTTGAACAGGCCCAGCACCTGGGCAAAAAGCATGGAGTGCTGACCTGCAGAATGCTTCTGGGGCTGTTGTATGGGAACCGTATGCAAGGGTGAGAAATGGCTGTCGTGTTAGATGGGATTAGCAACAGGGAGAATCAAATGAGCATTGCTGTGCAAAACTGGACAGACAGCTGGCTCCAAGGTTTGTAGGCTATTGAAAAAATTAAATTAGCAATTGGTCATTTGAAAAAATGGAGGGGAGGGGATATAATTTTAAAGAAGCTTCTTCCCGCCTTGCTGTCACCTCAGAACCCAGGATAACCTGGTCCAGATTTGAAACCTCTTGAAAACCACTCTCTCACATGAAGTAAACCGGGAGTTCCCTAAGGCGGGAAGAAGGTTCCAGTTGGAGCAGATGCTCCCGGGCGTGCCGCCCGCCAGGGAGAAGCGCAGGGCTGCGGGTCCCGGCGTGTTCGGGTTCCTAGGCGCGCTTGCTTCCTCTCCCTCTGCCGTCCTCTTTGGAAATGTTGCCTGCAGCAAGTGCGATAGCAGTGTTTGCAGCGCTGGGAAGCGTAAGGGTGTGACTGAAAGAATCACTTCTTTGATGCGTGGAAAAAGAGTTGGTGAGGCATATTCCTGATGGACAAAGTTACTCTGTTTTCGTTACTGAATCATGAGAAAGTTAGAACAGGCTAGAGAGGCTGAGTCTGAAGAGTGCTGGTTTTGCCTGTCTGGAGTATGCCACATTGGTGGGATAACATGGAGAAACGAGCGCTGTTCTTATGCTTCAGGTTTTTGTATGCATGAACAGAGTATCTTTGTCTCCAGAATTCCTATTTTGCTAGGAGGAAATTCCTTCATAGCTAGTAAAATCAAAATTAATTTGTCACAGATGTTACGTGAGCTTTATTTTCATGTGCAGTACGAGATGAAAGAGAACTTATAAATGTTTGCTCTCTGCAACTTCAACTTTGCAGCTCATTGTCCCTCCCTGTCCAGGCCCCAAACTGATAGACAGGCAATTTTAATTTCCTCAGTTTCCAAGAAATCGATGAATGTGTACATAACTCAAGCCTTTGTTTTATAGTTCCTGATGTTTGCCAACTCAGGATTCACTGTTTATTTTGATGACTCCTCCATGCTTCAGTTTTAGCAAAATCACGTATTAAAATAGTGTATTGCAAGGCTATGAAATGGAAGAAACAATAATAAGGGTAACTTGTCAGCTGAGAGCACATCTGTCAAACCTTCCTTTTCCTTTCCAGATGTGACCTGCAGAGCAAACCTTTTGCCTGTGTAAGGGAAGGGTGGGGAATAGTGATGATGCAGTGCAAGTGAATGGCATGCTGCCTTAGAGAACACCTTCCCCGAGAGTTCCTGGAGTTATTTGCAATTTGGGGAACTGGACTGTGCCCATCTAAGCCAGCCATTGTCACACAGTGGGGAGAATTAATATGACACAGCTGGACTGGGAAGTGGATCCCCCTTCCTCAGTGATGGGGGGTAAAACTTGCAATGTGCTGACTGTGTCGTGCAGCTAATGTGGAGGAGGTTCTCCGTGTCCAAAGATGGCTTTCTGGGGTCTGCATCTTCTCGCGTGCAAGTTATTCAAAGTTACATTTGAGAAGGGGGTAAAAAAGGGAGATTAAGAAAAAAAAGAGTGGGAAAACCTTTTGCCCCAGCCAGGAGGAGAAGTGATGTGGGCCACAGCCCCGGCTCCTTGCCAGGCACCCTCTGCAGCATCTGGGTGCTGGCCATGGTGATGGTGGTATTTTCTCAGCATATTTTCCTCCAGTGTGATGTATTTCTCATTGGGACCTGCTCAAACCCTGTAGTTCCTGTTCATGCTGGGATCAAAACACACATGCGGTTGTATGCTGACTGTTGCCTGAGGGCTGTGCGTAAGTGTTATTGTTAGCACTAGGCTAGTTTATTTGCTAGTCTTGCTTTCCTCTGGATGTAAAACAAGAGCTACCAAACAGGGAGAGGGTGGTGATCTCTCACTGGTGGCCGTCACTTCCCATGAAAACCCAACGTGGGGTGCGCAGGAGCAGAGCGCGAGCGGAGCAGGAGGCTCCGGGCGGCAAGTGGGCGTGCGGAGCAGCACGTGGAAAGGCTTCAGTGCTGCCGAGGTTAAGGCACCCGCGGCACTGTGCAACAGTCACAAAGTACATAAAGAATTAAACACTTTAGCCTTTCGAGAATATTCCTGTTGCAGCTATAATAGCCACCGATGAACTGCATTTCTCTTGCATGCTGTTTCTTAATATTTTCCAACTCTGCCCTGTGTGGTAAAATATTAAGCAGGAGCGTTTCTTGGCTAACAGGAACTTGCCTCTAGTTACCATAGAAATGGCTTTGAACTGGTTCACTTCTTCCATCTAAAAGCAAAATCTGTTTTTCTTTTTTCTCATACTAGAAATGCTTCAAGAGTTAGAATTGATTTTTGACTTAACTTAAATGAGCTGGTTAATACAAGGCAAGAAAACTCACATAGCTTGATGAGCTGGTCTGATAAAAGCACCTGAAATTATTTTTTTTCCAATGAAACTTGGACTACCTGCATGTTAGATCTGTCTGAGTATTTAGGTTAATGCACCTGTTTCTCTGCTGTCTTTTCAAGGTTAAGTACAGGAAAGGAGTAAACTAGTTTATGAAAACTTTATTTAGAAGAGTATTTTTCTTTATTTTACAGATGTGGGTAAAGTAACAAATGTTAACTTTTTCATATCTCCTCCAGGTCACAATGCATCAGCCAGATGAAAGAATTAAAAGAACAATGTGAAGAAAGAATAAATGACCTTACAAAAAAAGGCAGTGACGTACCAAAGGACAAAGAAAACAAGGAAGCCTCGGAAGATTCCAACAAGAATCCCCAGGTAAGGGTCTAGGTAACTTCTAAAAATTTTTTCCTGTGGAGTTCTCAAAGGGCTCTCCTTCCTTCCATTCCCAGCTAGTGTCACCCCATCTCGCTACCAACATTTGTTGGGTGTTTCTGACCTATGTGAAACGGAATAATTTGAACCAGGCAGGAAACTGATCTCCAAATTACCAGACTCTGAGAGATGGGCAGAATTCAAGAGGGGTGCTGGGGGTGGTGAAGAGTCTGGTCGGGTGAAGCTGCACCCCTGAACGTTGGTCCACAGCTCATCTTGACTTTGTTAAAGGAGTTGGTTGCTTTGTATTTCTAGGTGCAGCTTAAATATGAGGATAAACTTAGCATGAATCCATTCAGAGTAGCAGCAAGGCTTGAATATAAGACACTGTAGTCCATAGGTCCTCACTAGGCACTTAAACATTCAGCAGTTAAGAGTTTTCACAGAAAAAGCAATTTAGAACTTGTAAGGTGGGAACAAGTGGAAGGTTGAACATTTTATTTTATTGTTTTGGATGTGCTGAGCTGGCCTGCAAAGGACATTGTGGTGGGTAGCATGGGGAGGCTCACGAAAATAGTGCTGACTGGCAAATACTGTGGCTACGTGCCAGCCCACCCTTTCTTCCCGTAGAGGGAGAGGAAACCCTCCAGAGAAAGAAACTTAGGTGATGCTGTTGTCTTGGTGTGGTAATTACTGATGCCACTTCAGTGAAGTGGGATTAGAGCAAGGGTAACCTGTGCTTGTTGCTGGTCTCACTGGCAAAATGCAACAAAGTCTCTGGCAGAAGTCGCTTAATTTATGTGAATTTACCATTTACTGTGTCTTTGGGCCTGTGTGCAGCTGTGGCAGAACTTGTGTGTGTGTGCACCACTGGGCTTTCCCTCGTACATGGTGTCCAGCTCTCACTGCAACAGCACGTGTGCTTTCTGATAGTATATGCCCTGTATCCTTAGGTTGGAAAATGCTGACAGAAGAAACAATATTGTGCCTTCATAAATGGAAATGGTAAAGAAACTAGAGTTGAAGCTATTTTTGCAGATACAAAAGTGTCTGAGGGATCATCATCTTTCCAGGATGGTTCCATAACGGTTCCCTTGTTTGTTCCAGTCTGTGTCTCTTCTGTTCTCCTCCTACAAACCTCTTATGGTGGGAGAGGGGCTGCTGAAGTGAGAGCCAGGACTGATCTGAAACACCACGTGCCATTGCTAGAGCACGCAGCTGTGAGACCTTCGTTCTTCGAGACAGCAACCACATACATGAAGCATGATGGACAGGAACCACTGGTCATTTATCCCTTCAGAAGAAAGTGAAGGCTCTTGTTGTCCATCTGTTTTTTTTCTTTTTTTTTTTTTTCCATGTCTCTATGTCATGAAAGTAGTCAGTGATTTAAAAGGAGGGCTAATAATCTGCCTTGTCCAAGCTGTACATACATGGTGCCAGGTGAGATAACCAGTCCTATAGCTGCAAGCCAAGGAACTGCTGTCTTCAGTGTTCAGGACGGTGCTTCTTATGTCAAGTAGCAACTTTCTCACTTCTCTTTCAAGCAAGGCTTGCAACTTTGACCAGTGCAAAGGCTGAGTGCAAGGTGACCGTCTAGAAACCTATTGTTTTTAGCTGGAATACTTCCTGTTTTCATGGATCACAGTAGCTGGGCTCTGCAATTTTTGTGTTTTCATGCTGAATTTTTAAGATGTAAATGCTTATGTAATGGAAATGGCAGAATTAAAGTAAATCCAAGAGAAAAAAAAGAAAACATATTGGTTAGTAAATGCACAGTTTATTCTTGTAGATCTCTCCTGTGGAGCACTGTATACCTCTCAGTTGAGGAGTATACAGTGTGTTCATTCATCCCCTACAGCTTCTAGTAATTATCTTTTTTATCCAGAGAACAAACGTCGTCATTGTAAAATTTTTCAGCATGTACACTACTAGCTTGACACTGTCATTAAGAATTGCTGAGTTAGACATTCAAAATAAAGTTAAGTGTTCTTGCATGTTTGTTTAAAAGGCGGTTTCTTGAAGTGCAGGATCAGTGTTTTTAAAGAGGAATTAATGCCCTAGCCTAGTGAGATATACCGTATGTTTCTCTGACTTTTACTGTAGAGAATGACGTCAAGAGGGCCAACTGTTTGCAAAAAGACACTTATTTAAACGTAATACTTCTTTTGTATTAATGACTGAAGGGAGATTGTGAAAAATTAACAGAATGTTGTGGCAATATATAAGCATGCTTCCCTAGCTTTCATAAAAGTTAATGTTAGATTTCCTGTTAGTGTTGAACTGAGTGGTGTTCACCTAACAAATTCTTCAGTTCTGCCCACTTTTCACTGAGGTTAAACATTTTCAAAAAAACCAAGCACGCACGTCCTGCAGCACCTCTACAGTTTTAGCTTCTTAACTGTTTAATAATTTCTTTCTGCAGAAATGCTTGCAAACAGCCCTGTGTTCTGTTGGCCTGCTTAGAACAACTTTTCGTGCCATACAGTTTCCTATTCAATGACACAGTCTCAAGTGTAAGCGTGCTTACCTTTCCTCAAGTCTGTGTCCTTGTCCTCTCTGCACATCCGTTGTGGAAAAAAAACACACAGCAAAAGCAGCTTCGTGACACTATTTTTCTGAGCTGAAACTGGTGTAGAGCAGCAGCGTCTCCAGGCACAACTTCATGTTCTGTGTTTGGGCTCTGGGGCAGTTAGGGAGTTGCTAAAATGAGTTACTTGATGTAGAACTTCAGTTGCTGGACTGGAAGTGCCTCAAGCTGGTGTGCCTCTTGGCCACTGATCTTCAGTGAGGGAGGCTCTGAGAGCAGCCTAGTGCTAGTGCTCAGTAAATTCTTAAGCGAGCTGCATCACGTTAAACAGACACAGGTTTGGTTGGTTGGTGGTTTTTTTTTACTGTTGACTGGTTGTTTTGTTTAGTTTTTCTTCTCTTAAACTTGCATTCAACATCATAGCTTTAGTTCAGTTCTGCTGAGCCTTGATTAACAGGAATCTGGTTGTGCCCAGGCTCGGTTGTGTCTCTGTAGATTGATGGACACGAGTCGGGAAGGTAACGGTGTTTAGAGATACTCTGCCGTGCTGCTGGGTGCCATCGGTTCTGTCGCGCTGCTGGAGCTGCCACGTCGACAGGCAGCTCTGCAGAAGGGTGCCCTGCTGCAGCCCGGGGACCCGCGCGCTCCTCGCGCCCCTGTGGAACGTGGGCCTCGCGCAGGAGCCTCACCCTCACGGCACTCGGATGGAAAGTTGCTAGAGAAAGCGTGTTAAATTCTCACCGTGCGTGTGATACACTAGGAACAAGCATGCTCGGGATGGCATGCTGCTTCCACCACCAGTAAAGAGTTCAGCTAAAATGTTTCTGAGTGTGCTTACGCGTTGCGCTCTTGGATATTGATATAACTGCCACTACCAAACGCAGTGAGTCCAGACCATTCTGTGAGTCCACACCAGTCTGTGTGTGTTTGTTTTGTAGGTTAATGTTCAACTGCCTACCTTGAAGCACGTGGAGTTCCAGCAGGCTGGCGTGGACAAGCCGAAGGCTGATGGGGATGTACCCAGAGTAGCACCTACAGCAAAAAGAGCAGACTCTCCTCAAACTAAAGGTGGGGTGGAAATCATTGCCATCCTAATAGCAACTCGAGTAGTAAGGCTTGAATTGAATATTTTTTAGAAAAAAGAAAGTGTATATAAGATTTAGATGGAAAAAATCAGTCTAGTAGACTGGATTATGATCAATTTTCCCGGAGTTGTGGAGAGATATGACTAATGATCTGTTCTGTTCAAGCATTTTTAATGCCAGCATTGCTACTGGTTCAGTCATGTGTTGCAACTAAAATGCTTCACATCTAAAGGAAAAGAAAAATATTTACAAGTCTATAGTCATATTCCTGGTTTACTCTGAAGAAAATGTCTTACTTTTGAAAGGAAAGATTATTAAGAATCTTTAAAGTTTGCTCAAGTCTAACACAGCCAGCACCCCACCCATGCATAAAGGATGGCTGGAAGTCAGACTTTAGACAACCACACTTTCCTGCCATTCTATGTTGTCACTAGGTAGAATACCAGGAAAAGAAATGACATGCAGGTTATCAGATTAGATCACCTAATGGTTGGTTTTGGCATAAACTCTGAGGAACTGTTAATTTGAATGGGTGGCTACTGCAGCCTCAGTCTTGCATAGTACTCTGTGCGTCACAAATTCAATTTCCTCTTTAATTATTCTAATGTGCTATCTTAAATTACAATCTTGGGAGTACTGCAGCTCTCATTTTGGAAAACTAACTGTTCAAGACAACATCTTTATATATTTTTTTCAGGCAAATTGTATCCTGATGTTGTTTGGTTCAAAATATGGATACGCAGAAAGAAAGATGTAGTGGTGTCTGCTGAACGCTACAGGCTTCTTGCACTGCATCTCCATGTTTAAAAATAAAACCAGCTTTGTTTTTCTTGCAAAATTGTCCATGTGACTGCTTTGCACTAAACTATTTCTGAACACCAAATTGGTGGTTTCGTTGTTAATAATGAAATGCAAGGCTTACAGAAATGTCTTTTTGCATACATCTAATGCTGTGATAGCAGATACTTGCATAGAATATCGGTTTTGTATTTAAATTGTTCCACTTCACATGCTGTGTTTATTAACTGTATCAAAATTTTAAGTAGGCAGAAGTGTGATTCTGTTAATATTGAACAAAACCACAGTAGCTTTTCAAAGTCCCATTCTGCAGCTGTCCCTAGTGTGAAAACAGGATGTGTCTTTCTGTGTCTTTCTCTTTGGAACTGATGTGTTTGAAAGATGTCCCTTCAGAGGAAAAAATGGGTATTGGATGGGAAGGATAAGGCAGTATTTATTTAAGTTTTCCAACTTTTACTGCCACTAAAAGGCAGTATGTTTTGTACTCAGTGTGGCTGTTCTTTCTTACAGATGACCTTGTTGCCGTCAGAAAACAGGAGCCTAAAGCAGAGGAGGAGACCCTTTTAGGTGAACTGAAGCCCCCCCAGGATTCGCTCAAGGCCTCCGCGGGCCCCAGGGAGGTGCTGCCTGAGCCGGAGAAGGGAGTGAGAAGGGAGTACGAAGAGGCGAAGCGCGGAGCGGGGCGAGAGGCGGCCACGGAGCGCGCGGCCAACGAGGAGGTGGAGCGGGAGCAGCTCCTGAATTACGACGCTCAGCAGAATGACCCGCGTCCCCAGAAGGATGGTGGGTACCACGTTACGTGTTCTCAGAGACGGCAGAGACATCCAAGTGCAGCATAGGGCAGGATTTCCGAGGCGGTAAGGCCAGCCGATCGGATGTGATGTGGGCTTTCATGAAGATGTAAAAGGCTGGTCAGTCGCCAGTGCTCTTGGGCAGTCTGTGGATAGAAATGGAGACTTCTGTTTGTGCAGTGTGGAGCTCCAGGGCTGGGCTGTTGTTCTGCATCGCTGTAGCTGCCTTCCTCTCTCTCTCTATTGGCTGGGGGGGGAAAAAATCAGACTTCAAAATCTTTTTGGTGTCAGGACTCTGTAAGAATGTGGCTTATGCATTTGAAAATGAGGAGATCTTATCCATCAGGAGCATGAATGTGCAGAGAAATACTGCATACTAATGTTTTGTAGATAGCTCTTTTATAGGGACATTGTGTCAGTGTTAACTACTCTCAAAATAGGGTACCAAGGGGAAGAAAAGGGTCAACTCTACAGTAGGCCTGGTATTGTAGCCTATTACTGTGAGCCTGTAAGATACAGCAGATGAGAGTTTTTGGCCTTCAGCAAGTGTGTCTCCACGCCACCCATATTCTCAGCCCTGAGCAGCAGAGCACTGACGTCCTGCCTAAACCTGAGCGGGATCTAGATACGCATCTCGCATCGTCCCGCGTGCTCCCAAGAGCAGCGTGTCAGCCGCTCCCCCCCTAGAAGGCAGTGACGTTTGCCTACGTGGTGGAAGCAGTTTGCAGTGTTCCTACAGTCATTTCCTTGCTTTCTCCTGAATCTTGTCATCCAAGTCCGTATCTCGTATCTTCCGATAGAATGTCCCAAGGGCCTCGCTACCAGCTCTGGTGAGTGGTGGCCTTCCACCCTTCCCAGCTGGGTGCCAGGCTTAGTCAATGGACCGCAGAGGGCAAAGGGAAGCACCGTGGCACTCACTCAGAGAAGGGACTCATTCCCAAAAGGGGCAAAATTTCCCCCAAGTTTGTGCTTTCTAATCCAGTGAATGCTTTCATATAATCATCAGTAATGATGTTAATACACTTGATAATTTGATGGGGATAAGTAATCTCATCTGCGTAGCTAAAGTAGTATTCTTGCAGCTGTCCCAAATTGATACTGGCCAGAGCAGACTGTTCTCCAAAGATGTCTGACTATATAAGTATCTAAACCACTTCTTTTTACCTAAAATAACAGAAGAATTTGGTTCAAAAATCATGCAGCAGCACAGGAAAAAAAAATTAATTACCCAAGTTCTTTGAGCTAAAAGATGGATGCTAAAGCAGGATATTCTTCAGGTTTATTGTTCCAACAAATAACTTCCATAACTTACTGCATAGGCTTATAACAGTCATTCTTCTTGATAATCTTTGTGATAAACTTAATGCATAGTAAAACATTGTTGGAATATAATGTATAGGATAGATCCTTGAAGCAAGAAGTATGTATTTGATAAGCCCATGAGACAGTTTTAGATATAATGGGACATCACCTAGTTTTCAAGTTTTTACATTTTTTTCTGTATTTTGGGAGAGTAACTAAGCAAGCTGTTCTGTACTTGAATATAGCAACACAACGTTTCTATCATCAGCTACATATAAATTCATAGATTTTAGAATTCCTAAAACAGATTGCTTGTTCCAGGGGGGAAGCAAGGTAGACAGAGATTTCTTTTATATTCTCTGAGGATCCTCCCTCTTTCAATTAAAGCTTCTTTTGAAGCTTGAGACCTTTAGGTCTACTCCTACAAAAACATGTTTGAAATGGTGATTTGAATATGGTCAAAATAAAAGGCTAAGTGTTTTCAAGCCCATTTTTAAGCCACTTGCTAATTAGAGGGTTCAGCTTTTCCTTCTCCCTCATGTCCCTCTTAAATATGGTGTGATCACTCTTGGTCTCTTCACTTCTTTTTATGGCTGGTTAACTATAACATAAGGATGGGAGGCTGAGGAGCAAAAGAAAAATTTTCATCTACTTTTGAGTTTTCCATAAAGGAATCTAAAGCAAGTAGTAAATAGAAGTTGTCTGAGATGGATCTGCATGAGTGGGATGCATAACAACTGGGTAAAGGAAATCTCCTTTATAGAAGAATATTGTTTCAAGTTGACACAGCCTAAAATACTCTTGTTAAGCTATTGTCTCAACTGGATGGGCTAATTGTTGCATGAACTGAAACACAAGTGGTGAACCTGAGATCTCTGTTGCTGATGGAACTACTTTAAACGAAACACTGTGGTGAAGTATTCAATACTTGCTTCACTGCTCTTAGTGAAATTACCTGCCTTTTTTACTCTTAGGCTGTCACATAGGGTACTCTGTAGTTGTTTAACGTCTTTTTTTTCTGACCTTCTGAGAGACGACTGATTTTTATTACACTTTTCAAATCCCAGAAGACTGTTATCTAGCTCCTGGTATGAGATTTACAGCAGAAGCTGTTCTGAAATTTAATAAAGGGAAAAAAAAAAAGGAAAATCTGATCTTTAAGCAGCATTTTGCATTCAACTGCAAAATAAATTCCGTGGTAGATTGTTGTAGGAGCTGTTTCTTGTGCAGATGGTATTACAGTAGCATAAAACTGATTAATTTAAATGTTTTTCCAGACAAACAGGGACATGAAGCACTGAACCAGGACAAAGACGTTGACTACAATTTAGATGAGAATGAAGCTGAATCTGAAACAGACAAACAAGCTGCGCTTACAGGAATTGAAAATAACTTGCATGGTAAAGGGAAAAAAGAACTCTAATAGTTTTGCCCTAAGTACCACTAAAAATTAAGATGATACTTTAATTGTCTTCTGTAGCAGATGTGACTGATTTCTGTGTGAGTGTTCCTCACTTTAATGGTGTGACTGGTTTTCTCTATAGCAGCACTGGAATTACTTCTAACGTGTTGGTGATTGATAGGGGTATCTGTAGCTTTTCTGTTCAGCACCAACAAGCCTCTCCAAATTGCTCTTGCTGTTGTCTAGATTCTGTTGTCTGGATGAAGAACTGCCACTCTTAGCTCTTTTTACCAGATTTAAGTACTTTTTTCTTTTTCCCTAATTAGTTGCAAACCACGAAGATAATGTGAACAACCACTTACTTGATCAAGCAGATGAACGACAGAAGTTGTGAACAAGGGAGGTTCATGATGACTATCACGTCTGCAGCAATGATGACAGCCAAATGATTTGAGAATCTTTCAATTACCTTCTCCGGGCTTTAACAAGGATCCATATGAAGTTTGTTCTTGTTGTTGTTGTGAAGTTCTAGAACTGTTTCAGTGGTGGAAACACTATCTTAAATCTCTGGAGGCTTGTTTCAAAGCAGCCTGGCCTCTGTTATAACTCTTTCCTTCCTCCTGATTATAGAACTGAAACTAGCTAGCAATAACTATTGTAATTTTGAAGTCAAATACTTTGTACTATCATACTGTGATAAAAGCTTGTGTGTATTCGTGGTAGGTGGGAGAGAGTCCTCTGCCCGAGCAATGCAATAGAGAGATCCCCAGCCTCGCTTTAAGAGGAGTTTAGGCTAACACACCTTGACAAAACACGTGAAAAGGAAATAAATTGGCCCATGCTTCCATCTACTCTCATGGCAATTCTGGAACCTTTTAGACTTCAACATACGTAGGTAGGTTTTTGGGTCTCATAGACCAAATCTGTGAACTTAATGGGGTCTGTACCAGGACCTAGTCATTCCCCTGGTTTATTTCATAGCTTTTATGTGATAACAGTATCACTTTCACTGTGAGATGAGCCTAGCTCTACAGGAATTTTTCTTGAAAGTAGCCTTTGTTGGACTCCTCGTTTATCACTAACTTGTGCAACTTGGCAAATTGACTCCTGAACTTTTGATGAGAGGTGCCTTCTGAAACGGTGTGTTTTATCTACCTTTTATTCCACGCAGGCAGTATCTTTGCTAAAATGTAGAAAAGTAGAAAGGCTTGGTAAAGACTTCTTTGAAGCAAACTGCCCATTGCACTCTTGAGGAAGGTAAACCAGACTATGCATTTAACAGACATGTCAGTGTTTCCCACAGGGGAAGCTGTAGATGTTGTGAAGTGCTGTGTGATGCACAATGTATTATGTTAATGTTTTGTAGTTGTCATTTTTTTTTTGCAACTTTGTGAAGGTAAACTAGAAACTAGTTTACTGGGGATAAACCAGAAATACTCTCAACTACCACTAAAACACTCTTAGGAACCCCAACTGCTTGCCTTCAGTCAGGCATCTGCTAAAAGGAGGGATTTTCAAAGCTCTGTGGTCCCCTCGTGACTCAGATATGTCTGAGAGTTTCTGTGGGATTACGCTTATCCCAGCTGTTACTCAGTTGCTCTTAGTTTGTGTCAGTGTTCACGTCTGAACTTCCAGTACAGAAACTATGGGGAGTTGATTCCTGATACTCAGTGCTGCTGTTGGCAGTACACATGCCATAGCCTAGGCAGGTCAGGTGCAAAAAGAAACCATTTTTAACTGCACTTTGTGTGGTCAGTCATTTTAAATATTGTATTTGTGCCTGTTCTTAGGAAAGGCCTAAGATCCATCTTGTATTTAGGTTCATCTTTGGGAGAATGAGCCAACCTACACATTGCAGCACGAGAGAAGAAAGCAAGACATGAGTAACTTCCTGATCAGAAATTTCGTTTAAGCAAGTCATGACTTTGTTTTAATGTGCTCTTTGATGATTCATTATCACTGTGTGTCATTCTTCTAGTGTACTAGTTTACAACTCCTGTATCTTAGGATGGCTAAGTGTGTATCGATGCTCTTATATATGAAGAGTAGTAGTTTTAAAAAACAGGGTCCACAATAAATGTTTCCTATTATGTCTAAATTCACAGACAGTTCATGACTGAGATGGCCAAGTTTAATGTTGATTGGTCTAAGGACAGCACAGACCTCTGTTACTGAGTTCATCTTGGTTGCTGTGTTTTTGATTTCTTAAGCCAGATTTACGTGGCCATGATTTTACTAGGCTATGACAGGCACCACAGCAGGTAAACCATTTTTTTAAGGAAGGAAGATGAGCATCTCTTCTAAAAAAGACAAGTGATAAGAAAGTTGAGATGTTTCTGTTTTGTTGAATTTTTGTTTTAAATTATTTTTCTGTAAACCAAGGTACAACTTACAAAAAATGTTTACACGGATTCCAAATAAAATGGGCATTAAGACTTAACTTATACTATTAATTGAGGTAGAATCAATCTGAAATTTAAAAGTGATGGTTAAGGAATATGCATGCTAACAAAATGTACACTATATTCAAGTTGAATGAGTCTTACTTTTAAACTGCTAAAATGTTAAGGAAAAAAATAATGACCATAGTACTCCTCTAAAAACACTTTTGTTGGCTGTACTTCTGTAAAGCAACCCAACCTTCCTGGGATCCTTTCTAGACAGTTGATGGTGTCCTCACCATAACCAGGACTGCCTTGTACAAAGCACAGTTGTCCTGTCTCTCGATTGCAGGTGTCTGAAAGCCCGTCTAAAAGCAGTGTTCAAGAACATAAAGGAAAACAATTTTGGCTTTAGTGGCTTTAAGTGCTACAGGATTATGTTGGTCGAATTCTAAGACAAGGGGTCTCTTTTGCTACTACACGGAATTTTAAAATTAAAGGAATTTTAGTTTAACAGGAGATTCACTTGCAGATGTGGCTTACATGATATTGTCTATCACTAAAGTTTTTACTTGCATGAGGGACGGAAAGTTTCCTAACTGTAATCATGTGGAGATTAAATTAATGCTTTTTTAAAAACAAATCCTAATCCATTTTAGATAAGCATTTTAAAATAAAAATAACCTTCTTTACTGTGTATTGTCTTGTTTTGTACAATTGATCTACTTTCAATGTTAATCAAAATGGGAGGTGTGCACTTGATTTTATTAGTCCCTACAAGTGGTATGTTGTGAAATTTAGTTTTATGAAGAAATAGACAGATGTCCTTGAGTCCACTGGTAGATAGCTCAAGATTTTGAAGAGAGGAGAAAAATTTTTGATTGTTCATGAGAAGATGGCAAAGTAGAGGAATTCTCAGTCACCTGCACTACTACCAGCTGAACATCTTTTCAGGTATGTTTTCCAGCATTTTTAATCCCATGGCAATGGTAAATGCAGTCAAGTGTAGGAAGGGGGAAGATAACCATGTAACATGCTACGCAACCTCCTACCAAAGAAAGAAGAAAAAGCACATCCTGCAGGCAGTGCTACTCCTTATCTGGAGAAGTGCAAGTTGTTGGCAGCTAAGTGAGGTATTCCCCTTCAGTGTTTCTTTTTTGTGCCTAAGATATAAGGCTCTACTGTTTCATTTCTGTTCAGCCAAAAAAGTATTACTGAATCCTTAAAACATCATTTGCTGTCAGATTTTGTTTGTAAAAATGACTTATGATTAAATCTGTAATAAAACTGAGTAAGGTACAACATTAAAATCAGCTTCACTTGCAGAACATTATACAAACCAGTTTAAAACAGCAGTTGGCATTCAGATCACATAAAGACAACAGACTAGAGAAATTCTGTTTTAACAGTACTTTTATCCCAGAGATCCCTTTTAGTATGTGTACAGTACTGCATATTCCATCCCACAGCTGGTATCTTATGTACAAGTTCTGCTTCATATATGCTAACAATTCATCCTTCAAACAAGCTTCACAACTGGAAAATATTTGTGAGGGGAGAAGTCAAATTCTGGAGGAACCTGGAGGGAAGAAATTTAAAACATTACACGAAGGTACTAGTGAATTTAATACCCTAAATGGGACACATGCTACAGATAAAAACATTTAAAGGTTAAGAGATTGAACAAACTAATCGCAGCTCTTCAAATCATGTCCAAAATGTTCCTGGCTTTACCCATAGCTCTCCACTAGTGATGGGTACCGAGTTTAAGAGTGCTACTGTGGTGTCTTAAAGCAGGTGCTCCTTCCCTCCTTCCCTCCTTCCTTCCTGCCCTTCTCAGGCTGGTGGTGAACACTTCCTCTGACTCATGGCAGCTGCTGATGCTCTCCCCATTGGGTCCCCAACAAGCTGCTTATAGACTGCTCCCCTCCACACCTGTCCATGCTTGTACATGCCATCCTGAAAATGCTTTCCACTTTCCAAGACACTTAAGGAAGAAGAGTGTTCTGTATTTAAAAATGGAAACAGATTATTTCCCATTCCTAAAACCTGTATTTTAAAAAAGCACGCACTGGAAAAATGGATTAGGTTACTTCCTCAACTCTTGTTAAGAGCTGGAAAAAATTAACTGCTAATTCAGCTATAGGAGTTTTGTGAAATACAGTTGTACCACATCTAATTCAACTAGTGCTTTCTTACCTTAGAGTCCTTCTTATGACCTCCAGCCAACAGCTTCATGACCACAATATTGGGTTTAGCAACTTTTAAAATTCGATTGACCTAGGCAAAAAAAAGAAGAAAAAAGGTTCAAAGGAAAATACATGACTTCAAAATTACTGTGAGAATAACACTCAGGTTTTTGCCTATGCTAAGACTGCCGTCTTCCTACTGAATCGGTTTATTTTAACAGATATCAAAGCATTTTGGATGTATCAGTTGGAATAAGGAGTAAACACATTTAATAGTCCCTTTCTATTCAACACACTATAGAAATCACTGTTTTCCATTCTTGTGTTCAAAAAATGTTCAATTATGGCGGGTTCTGAGGCACTTGTCTGAATAAAGGTATAGACAAGCCTCTAGGCATCTATGTTCAAACTCTGCAAGAAGGGGCAACTAAACTACCAACTAAAGCTAAACTTTCTGCTTTTTGGTTGAAAGTGCTTGGACACACTTGACTGACTTACCTTCAACTACCCCGTCAGTCTCCGGTAGTGCTCCTAAACTCTACCTTAAGTACCACTGAGATCTAGAGCACAAATAGAGATTTCTAATCCTGTAACTTTTATTAACTTGCTCATACCTGACAGAATCCGTGTCCTCTGCTCTAAAATAGTCTTTTTTTTTTCTTAAAATATGAGCAGAGAAGGAGAAAAATAAATTCTTATTCACATTTAAAGCCCAAGTTCTGAGAAAACTGTTCCAGGAAGAGTACCAGATTCAAATGCCCCTTTCAGGCTGATGACATTTTTTCCTCCCATAGGAGAACATGTGAATTATCAGGTTACATGAGTGGGAAGGATCACTTTCTTGAAACTGTAGCCCTT